AAGGGGGCCAGTGGGCAGCCCTGTCGCACACCATCCTATAATACCGAATAGGAGTGGCCAGTTGGCTGCCCTGTCGCAAGTGTCGACCGACACTTCAGCCCTGTCGCAAACACTCCTATTCGGTACTATGGCTCTCAGTTACTCGCCAACATGCCTGGCTGTTGGTTCCTGTCCTAAAAAAATGCCTCGCTCTCCTCCTCCGCGTGTCCTCTCCCTTGGGGTTTTACACTTCGCCCTCCTGTCCCTGGCTGCCACATATGCTGAACCCATCGGTAATCAGCTCTTCTCCGTTGGCTCCAACTCCGCAGGTGAGTTTCAGTTTCTCCCCCTTGACACGTTTTCTGATTTCAGGCTGGCATGCAGTGGCCCAAAACGCAACAGGAAACCCTCCGCCAACTACTTCTGCTGCCTCGTCAACCGAATCCTGAATCCCCCCCTCCTGACTCGGATCTACGCGATTTCTGCTGCTCGCTACGAGGGGTGTGACTCAACTTTTCATGGCTACCTGCCGGCGATACCAGAGAACACCTACGCTACGTCAATCACGTGGTCGCTTACTCACGTTTGGAAAGCAGATATTTACAACCCACGCATATACGCACTCGAACGTGCTGGCACAACGTCGGTCTCCAAAGTTTGCCGAGGCCATTGCCAAAGCGCCCACCTGTTTCCCACCTTTTTTTACTCGTCATCGCTCAGCCACGCAAGCTCTAACTGTCGTCGCGGTCTATCGCACGTCAGTGTTTTTACTACGGCCTGCGCGTTCGCGTCCCTTAAGGGGCTGGTCGTTGCAACCGTAGGCAGTCAGTGGCTATCTCTATGGCCGTATAAACACACCCCCCCCCCCCCCCCCCCCCCTCGTCTATCTCACAGCCTTACACAATGGCTTCCGGTCAGAAACCGGATCTAGTGATGAGCGACTTCCGTGCAAACCCCCCGTTTGGTGACGCTTTGCTTACAACAGATATCCCCGCCATCCTGTCCTACGCTGCGGTCCCCTTGCTGGACACGAATGCCCCTCCCTCCAAGAAGCTTTGCGGTGCTGGCCCCTCTGCCGCCAACCCCGCCGCTGATGTGAACCTCGAACAAGTGTCTGGTGAGGCTAATCCTGCGCACTCCGGGGTGCCTGCTGGCCGTTTCATGCACCTCCGTCACAACTGCGACTCAATCGGTGAAACAGTCGTTTCAATGGACCAGGATCTCCTCACACTCATGACTGTCCTTCCCTGAGTCCCTCGCTGATGACCATCGCTACGAAATAGTGGCACCGGTGAAGGCTACCCTTCGCAACAACCAGTTTACTTCCGGCAAGGTCCCTAACTTCGAATCGCTGGCTGGAGAAAATCTCCGTTTTCCCCGCAAGACCTATGCCCGCCACGTGTTTCAGTGGCCGACGCGTGACGACGCCCGCTGCTTCCGCAAAGCTCTCCCCATCGCCTACCGCCTGCAAAACGGCTCATACATCGACATTAAGCCGTATGTTGACTCCGAACCTGAGTTTACCGCCGCAAAATTCAACGGTGAAACTCATCTCCTACTGCGCAATATCCCGATTGGTTACTCTCTGGATGATGTCAAGAAAATGCTCCTCTCCCAGCGCAACAAGGCTGGTCGCAAGTGGCTGCGCGACGTTAAGTTGTTGCACAAGATCCTTGATCCGTATGAGGAGGTGTATCAAATGGCCGGACTACCCGTGGCTGAGGATGACGATCGCTTGTTTGAACAGATCCCTGCTGTTATCTGGCTCCCAGGCATCCTGGAGCCCATGCTCTTGAACCTCTCCTGCCACTGCTGTGCGGTTTGCAACAGCAACCACCGCACCTCCGACCATTCCAGTTTTGCGGTGATGCGCAAGTCACGCATCAACAACCCTTTCCAAATCTCAGTGGCTCAACTTCAATCCGTTAACGGTGAAGTGCCCTCATTCTCTCAACCTTGTTTGACCTTCTTCCACGTTTTCCCTGTTTTGGTTGTTCATCCTCTTGTCCAATTGGCTGTTCGGTTCCACCGTAAGCCATGGTCTGTCTTTATAAAGTTCAAACCACATGTACCACTTTCCTTGCCTTCATACCCATCCTCACCCACATGGCAGGGGCCCCCGCCTCTAGCCTCCCTCTCTCGCTGGTTCCTATGTTCCTATACTACCCTGCTTCCCTTGGGCTGGAAAATTTTCAGGAAAGATACTCGGACATGGCCCAGTGTCGTCTGCCTTCAAAACCGACCCCGGGCTGCTCTACATTGGCATCGACATAGAAGTCGAAGTTTGGACCTGCGCTGCCTGCAGTTACGTTTGTGGCTGGGCGCTGGACAGCGCTGTCCGCCACATGCAAGACTCATCCCACATTGCCAACATCAGTCTTTTCTCCAATGCCCCTACGCCTATCGACGAATTGGGTGGCACCAAAGTCAAAGCACTGCTGCAGCAGGAGAGCATTGCTTTCTTCTTGTCCCAGGAGTAGTAGGACATGGCCATGCATGCCTAATCACTACGGCACCTTCGACCTTGCCCCTTATGTGCCAGCTTCCCTTTATGCAGCCCTTGCAATGTTTCTACACCTCTTGTTTAAGGTCGCTGCCAATTATTCTTATTACCACCAACCCATGTTCCTTTCCTGCCCCGTGGATGGGTGTGCACGAGCACACCGAGGTACCACAGTATTCTATGTTGAACCACATTAAAGTTTTATGCATGAATATCAATGGCCTGAACGCCACGGAAAAGATGGACGATTTAAGAGCTTGGCTGCATATATTACCAGATATCCTCATTTCGATCGACACCCGTCTCACTAGCAACTTCAAGAAGCTCGTTAATAAACTCAGACCCGTCGCATATGCTCAAGCACTACTTCGAGTGTCTTCGAATCGTGCATCACCTGGGGGTATCGCAATTTTAACCTTCAACCGACGTATCTCTCTCACTGATCGCTTGCTTCACACGATGGGCGAATGTTGAAAGTTTTTGTAAACTATCTACAAGATCAATTCCAGCTGATCGCCATCTATGCTCCCTCCTACTATATTGAGCGGCGCGCTTGGTGGGACTCCACTGTCACTCCCACTCTCATGGACACCTCTCCCGGAGAAGGTACCATCCTAGTGGGCGACTTCAACTCTGTCTCCTCACCCCAAGATCGTTTAACGCCCCCTACGGGCACACGAGTGAACCGAAATGGGACGCATCAATGCTCTACTTGACACCCTCACGCTCACTGACGCGTTTTGCGTCCTACACCCGAACAAAACCGTGTTCTCCTTCCGATCCGTTACACATGTGTTCTCGGCGGGGGTCTCAGCCCCGGCCTCTCGCCTCGATAGAATTTACGTGTCCCAGTCCTGGGCCCCACGCCTCTCGGCTGCTGAATACCCCCAGGTCCCACACGTCCTCTCGGACCACAGTCGCAGCCCCTGCTGCGCCCTCTCATTCGTCAATCCTAACTGCGCCCCGAGACCATGGCGGCTCCCCCTCACTCTAGTCCGCGCACCGTTTACAACTTATCTGATCTCTGTCTCCGCTAAGCAACTCTGCGGCTCCGTCACTCTGGAGTCTTGGGAATCGTGGAAAACTACGTTGTGCACGAAATGTGCACACTTCAGCTTCATCTCTCACGTCACCCGTCAGACACCCACTCGTCCAATTTGTTGGACCGTTTCTCGAAACATTTTGATCAGTATGTCTGCCATCGTGCAACCGAAATCGCTCTGAAGGCTCAGCTAAAAGTGGAAAGTTAAAAGGAAATGGGCATCTCCTCCCTTCTAGCAGGGTTGAACAGAAGGATCAAAGACGCGCAAATTACCTCTCTCACTCTCTCCTCTGGCATTGCCACCTCAAAGCTGCACGAAATGGTCAATCACGGCTCAGCTTTCTTTGCCCAGCTCTATAGCGGCAATGCATCGGGCATCCCTAACTCCGAATATTTTACTTTTATATACCCATCCACCCTCCCTACTTCCTGTCTGTCAGGTCTTAGCAGTCCCATTTTAATCTCCGAGGTTGAACGCGCTTGCACAATGTTGTCTCGCGGTCGCTCACCCGAAAATGATGGCCTCCCTGGCGATCTGTACCTAGCCCACAAATCCCACCTCGCCCCCATTCTGCTACAACTTTTCCACTCCATATGGAGTCAAGGCTCTCTTCCAACGTCTATGCTTCGTGGGCGCACAATCCTAATTCCCAAAAAAGGGGACGCTTCGCTCGTGAGCCTCCAACCCATCACTCTCATGAACTCGGACTACAAGGTCCTTGCTATTTGTCTCGCCAACCGTCTACAGCGTGTCCTAAGCCGCCTCATTCACCCAGCACAGTCAGCCTTCATCAAAGGGGGTCGGTCAGCAGGCCATGAAGCGACGGCGACAAACTGGGTTACATCAACGGGTTTGGATTGCTGCCGCGTGTCTCTTGATGATTTGTTTCCCTGCTGGAAATAACGTGGCGCCTTGATACCACTGATGATCCATGTGCTGAACAGAATCAGAAGTACACCGCTACAAATACAAACCATAAGAGCTTATAGTGTTATGGTTAATAATCTACAGGTGGAGTATATGGTACTCCGCTAATGCATAGCTCCACCTCAGGTCGACGGCAGTGAAAGCAATGAATAGCCCACTCGGTCAACCTTGCCCTGGCGATGTCAACAAATCTCAGCGCCGGGGCAGCTAAAAGGTGGTCGAAAATATCATCCGATATTTTCGGGCAGCTCTGCGTGCTCAAGTAGCGCAACCGAGCGGCCGCATACTCCCCGGGAAAACGAAAGACCTCCATGTCACTTGCACCCGGATCTGAATCCTCGACTTGATTTTGCTCCGGCCGAACCTGCTGGGCCCAGGCTGGGCGGCAGAGAGCCCTGACGCAGGGATTGGACAGCTGGCGGCAGCCGTCCAATCGAATCTTGATGAGGTGGCGGCATCTGTTGGCAATGGATATGATTCTGTTGCGACTTGATCGCAGAAGCTGAGGGAGAGATAGCGGAGGGCAAGGCAGGAGGCGGCAAGAGCTTTCAAACCCTGGCGGGGAGAAAGAGGGTGGGGGAGATGGGGTGGAGAGAGAGGTGCCGGCATCTGTTGGCGATGGATATGATTCCGGCATCTGAGACTTGATCATAGAAGCTGAGGGAGAGATAGCGGAGGGCAAGGCAGGAGTTGGCAAGAGCTTTCAAACCCTGGAGGGGGGTAGGAGGGAGGGGCAAATGAGTTGGAGAAAGCAGACAAGGAAGGATTGGGAGAGGAGGGAGAGAGGGAGGAGTGAGAAGAAGATAAGGTTGGCGAGCAGCCGGCAGGGGTCCAGACGAATCTTGTTGACGTGGCGGCATCTGGGCACCTGTTTGCGATGGATATGATTCCGGCATCTGAGACTTGATCGCAGAAGCTGAGGGAGAGATAGCGGAGGGCAAGGCAGGAGGCGGCAAGAGCTTTCAAACCCTGGCGGGGAGAAAGAGGGTGGGGGAGATGGGGTGGAGAGAGAGGTGCCGGCATCTGTTGGCGATGGATATGATTCCGGCATCTGAGACTTGATCAAAGAAGCTGAGGGAGAGATAGCGGAGGGCAAGGCAGGAGTTGGCAAGAGCTTTCAGACCCTGGAGAGGGGCAGAAGGGGCGGGGAAGATGAGGTGGAAAGAATTACTTATGAGTGATGGATATGATTCGCAGAAGCTGAAGGAGAGATAGCGCAGCGAGAGGCAGGAGGCGGCAAGAGCCTTTAAACCCTGGAGAGGGGCAGGAGGGGCGGGGCAGAGGAGGTGGGGAAGGAAGGAGTAGGAGAGGAGGGAGAGGAACAAGAGGAAGACAGGGCGGGGTATACACTTATTCTGAAAACCACCACCACCCCACCCGCCCTCCCCCCTACACACCCACCCCCTCCCCTCCATTCGGCAATCTCTCTCCCCCTTCAAAGGTATCGTACCTCGTTGGTGAGTCTGGGGCTGCCGTGCAGAGCCAGCTCCTCCAGACCGTGACAATGCGAGGAGAGTGATAAGCAAGCCCCTCCACCGCCTCCTCGCTTATTTTGAACCCCGGCCCCACACCCTCTCCCACCATCCTGCATGTGAGTATCGTACCTCGTTGGTGAGTCTGGGACTGCCGCGCAGAGCCAGCTCCTCTAGACCGTGACAATGCGAGGAGAGTGACAATAACGAGATGTCCGGTAGCGGGCTTTGGTTGAGCACCTGATGGGGTGAAGGGGATGTGAGGGGAGACAATAGAAAGTGGCAATAGAGAGTGGCAATAGAGAGTGGCAATAGAGAGTGGCAATAGAGAGTGGCAATAGAGAGTGGCAATAGAGAGTGGCAATAGAGAGTGGCAATAGAGAGTGGCAATAGAGAGTGGCAATAGAGGGTGGCAATAGAGAGTGGCAATAGAGAGTGGCAATAGAGAGTGGCAATAGAGAGTGGCAATAGAAAGTGACAATAGAGAGTGGCAATAGAGAGTGGCAATAGAGAGTGGCAATAGAGAGTGGCAATAGAGAGTGGCAATAGCGAGTGGCAATAGAGAGTGGCAATAGCGAGTGGCAATAGAGAGTGGCAATAGAGAGTGGCAATAGCGAGTGGCGATAGAGAGTGGCAATAGAGAGTGGCAATAGAGAGTGGCAATAGAGAGTGGCAATAGAGAGTGGCAATAGAGAGTGGCAATAGAGAGTGGCAATAGAGAGTGGCAATAGAGAGTGGCAATAGAGAGTGGCAATAGAGAGTGGCAATAGAGAGTGGCAATAGAGAGTGGCAATAGAGAGTGGCAATAGAGAGTGGCAATAGAGAGTGGCAATCGAGAGTGGCAATAGAGAGTGGCAATAGAGAGTGGCAATAGAGAGTGGCAATAGAAAGTGACAATAGAGAGTGGCAATAGAGAGTGGCAATAGAGAGTGGCAATAGAGAGTGGCAATAGAGAGTGGCAATAGCGAGTGGCAATAGAGAGTGGCAACAGCGAGTGGCGATAGAGAGTGGCAATAGAGAGTGGCAATAGCGAGTGACAATAAAGTCTGTTTGCAAGCTCTGGTTCAGCACCTGATGGGATGAGAGGTGATGGAGAGAGTTGATGGGAGAGGAACAGGGAGGCGGAAACAAGCACAGGGAGTTACGTGAGAAAAGATTAAAAAGGTTATTGTAAGCAAATAGCAGAAAGAATAGTGAAGCAAATACGAGAAGAGTGAGGGCTCAAGAAAAGCACTCTCACCAGCAAAAAGAGCCCACTCTAGAAAATATTTTCTCACCAGAATTGATTGCCATGCACGGTGGCCTCTAGGAACAGGGACTGGGGCAGTCACGTCTGAAACTCTGGGCACCGATTCAAAAGCGCATCAGAAGTTGTTTCTTTTGCCACAGAAAGTCGTATCTCTTACCAGTGTTTTGAGCGCTGTGGCTCCTTGGAACAGGAGCGGGGCAGAGACGTCAGTTACCCCCGGCACCAGAGCAGCGTTGAGTGATTGCAACCGGGAGCAGCGGGCCAATGCGCTGACACCTGGCTCAAGCAGCTGGGGGAAAACACCAGGAGAGGTGAAAGGAGGAGTGAGAGGCAGTGAGAGGCGGTGCGATGCGGTGAGAGGGGGTGAGAGGCGGTGAAAGGCAGTGAGAGGCAGTGAGAGGCAGTGAGAGGCAGTGAGAGGCAGTGAGAGGCAGTGAGAGGCAGTGAGAGGCAGTGAGAGGCGGTGAGAGGCATTGAGAGGAAGTGAGAGGCGGTGGGAGGCGGTGAGAGGCGGTGAGAGGCGGTGAGAGGCAGTGGGAGGCAGTGAGAGGCAGTGAGAGGCAGTGAGAGGCAGTGAGAGGCAGTGAGAGGCGGTGAGAGGCGGTGAGAGGCGGTGAGAGGCAGTGAGAGGCGGTGAGAGGCAGTGAGAGGCGGTGAGAGGCGAATGTGTGGACCTGAACTCACCTTGCGACAGCACTTGATGGAGAGGGACTGCAGGTTGGGGCAGTGCAATGCCATGTGATCCAAGGTGGCACGTTTACCTCAACTCTTCTCACCTCGCCTCCCTTCTCGTCACCTCACCTCACCTCACCTCACCTCGCCCCAGCTCACCTTGCGACAGCACTTGATGGAGAGGGACTGCAGGTTGGGGCAGTGCGAGGCGATGAGATCCAAGGAGGCATGCTTGCTCTGGTCTGTTCTCTCTGAGTTCACCTCATACCTCTCGATAATGTGTCGAGATGGCCGAGTTGGTCTAAGGCGCTGTATTAAAACCGGGGTGCACATTCAGCTGAATGTGCATCAAAGGTTATCCCTTGACTGAGTGGGTTACGAGGTGTGCTTTCAACCCCTTCAAGTCGAAATTTGTTTCCCCCCTCCCCCGCAATTTCGTTTCCCCACGCCCCCGCAATTTCATTTCCCCCTCCCCGTCGAAATTCGTTTCCCCCCTCCCCCGCAATTTTGTTTCCCCCCTCCCCCGCAATTTCGTTTCCCCCCCCTCCCGCCAATCTGTTTCATCCCTCCCGCCATTCGGTTTCACCCACTCCCGCCATTTCACCCCCTCCCGCCACCTACGAAATGCCCCAAGGTCTAGCGGAATCATTTTTTTGACGCCCCTCGTGAGCCAATCGTTGAATGTGCACCCTGGTTTTAAGGTTCCAGTCCGAAAGGGCGTGGGTTCAAATCCCACTCTCGTCAACACCTTATGCTTTTCCCACCTGAATAACTCGTCATCTCTTTTGGACATTTGGCAAAAAGTGATCATTACTAGGAGGGGCTCTCTCCTGCCTGTCTTGCACAGTACCACACTCTTTACCTGAGAGCAAACAACTCAGACCAGGAGGGAGGAACTGGACTGGACACAACACACTCTTTACCTGTGCAGCAACAACTGTTTTATGTCACTGTATTCTCTTGTTAAGACCATACATGGAGACCATCAATTCTAATCCTTAAGCTGAAACCCTAGAGCAAGTCCGTTCATGCAATAACGGAGCCCAGTAGGCGCCGGGCCATCCTCAAACACATGCCCTAAATGCCCTTGACACTGGGAACACCGCACTTCGGTCCGGTCAAACCCAAAAAAGGACCTATCAGGGAGCAGATCCACAGCTCCGGGCAGCACGTCGAAAAAACTCGGCCAGCCCGTGCCGCTTTCAAACTTGGTCTCCGAATCGAATAGGGGTGAGCCGCATCCCCGGCAAACGAAGGTTCCGGGACGTTTCTCGTACAGCAGGTCACTGGTGAAAGAGCGTTCCGTGCCGGCCTCCCTAAGGACGTAATATTCACCGGGCGAGAGGATTTCCCGCCACTCCGCTTCCGTGTGCGACACGTTTCCTACTCGCAGCGCGATCCGCTGCTTCGGAGAGAGCGACGCCGGGTCGACGGTGCTGCTGGGGCCGGTTATGTTGACGGACGCGGCAAGATCGGAGGGGCTAGAGAACATGTAAGAGCCCAGACCGAGTCCTGCGGCGCCAAGTGCGGCGCTAGTGGCTACTATGAGCGTGATGGCGCCACGACGGGTGGGAGATGAGTTAATTGGGATGGAGCCCTTAGGTCGGACGTCAGGCGCGAGGGACTGGAACTCGGATACGTCACCTGAAGCATCTGGGCCGTTGGATTTGCTAGAATTACCGTCCCCGCCGTCCAGATTGCAGCGGACCCACATAGGATTGCGCCACGTGGCATTTCGTCCAGCGGATTGAGAAGATAATCTCGAGAGGGAATTCCCGCTGGACGGGAGGAGGCTGTTACGAGGAGGTGCGGAGAGAGAGAGCGCTACCATGAATCTGTAGCCTTGGAGTCGAAGCTTGTCAGTCCGAATTTGCTAAGTTTGCTAGCGCGCTATGTCTTCTGGTTTCCAGCCTTACGCGATTTTAATAACTCGGGCTACGAGCTGTTCCTGCAGCGAAAGAACGAAAGCTTGCCTGTGAGACACTCTACCGTTGTGGACTGAAGAGGTCGGTTGTGCAGTATGCGGAATGATGAAGCCTGAATCCTAATGCTGTTCGGTCAATGCTCATGCTCGAGCTGGATCACTGGAATCCAAGGCAAAGAAAGTAAAAGAGCGGTACTGTGCGATTTAGGGCGGTCGCTCCGTGAAAGACAGACCTCGGCAGCATGCACACCAGAGAACTCGTTGGGGGTCAGTCCGGGAATTGGGATTCGGGAGGCCATGAAGCGACGGTGACAGACTGGGTTACGTCAGCGGGTTGTAGTGCTGCCACGTGTCCCTAGATGGTTTGTTTCCCTGCTGGAAATAACGTGGCGCGGTGAGTCCACTGATGATTAATGTGCTGAACGAAATAAGATGTACACCGCTACAAATACAAGCCATAAGAGCTTATAGTGTTATGGTTAATAATCTACGGGTGGAGTATATGGTACTCCGCTAATGCATAGCTCCACCTCAGGTCGTCGGCTATGAAAGCAATGAATCGCCCACTCCGTCAGCCTTTCCCTGGCGATGTCAACAAATCTCAGCGCAGGGGCAGCTAATAAGTGGTGGAAAACATCATCGGAGATTTTCGGGCAGCTCTGCATGCTCAAGTAGCGTAGTCGAGCAGACGCATACTCTCCGGGCAGACGAAAAACCTCCCCACCACTTGCACCCGGATCTGAATCCTCGACTTGATTTTGCTCCGGCCGAACCTGCTGGGCCCAGGCTGGGCGGCAAAGAGCCCTGACGCAGGGGTTGGACAGCTGGCGGCAGCCGTCCAATCGAATCTTGATGAGGTGGCGGCATCTGTTGGCAATGGATATGATTCCGGCATCTGAGACTTGATCGCAAAAGCTGAGGGAGAGATAGCGCAGCGAGAGGCAGGCGGCGGCAAGAGCTTTCAAACCCTGGAGAGGGGCAGGAGGGGCGGGGCACATGAGGTGGAAAGAATGACTTTTGAGTCGACTCAAAAGTCACCTTGAGGGAGAGATAGCGCGGCGAGAGGCAGGAGGTGGCGAGAGCTTTCAAACCCTGGAGAGGGGCAGGATGGGCGGAGCAGGTGAAGTGGAGAAAGCAGAAACGGAATGATTAGGAGACGAGGGAGAGGAACGAGAGGGAGACAGGGTTTGGGCGCAGGGGTAGATGGACAGGTATCGTATACGCTTACTTCGAAAACCACCGCCACCCCACACAAATGCCCCCCTCCACCCACCCCACCCCAATTCCCTGTTAGAAATAGTCAGTCAACACTTTGTACTATATTCTATATCGGTTAGGTTACTTTGTAGGTTGGGTGTAGATTTGTAATCCCAACCCTATCTGGTTGGGATTCCC